CTTCCAAGTGTTCAGACGCGCGAGCCTATGGGGAACATTTCGCCTTGAAATCATAATACCCTAGAACTAACTAACTAAATAAGTGTTAGGTTGGAGACTTTCTGGGTCTATAAGAAATGACAGGATGTGCAGTTGAAGTCGATGATGGTTGTTGCCCCCCGGGGGGATAGCACCAAACAGCTGCAGTGCTGGTCGGCAGATCCGTTTACGCGGCCTTGGCTGGTGGATCTCTGCATGGGATGGAGCAGTGGGTTAACTTTAGAATCTGGAGTTCAACCCTAAGCATCTCTGGTTTGATGTGTGGTACTAAGCAAATCATCTAACCTCTCTGAGTCGTACTTTGTTCATTTATAAAAAGGAAATTAAAGCTGGGTATAGTGGTGCACACCTTTAATCCCAACACTCGGGAGGCAGAGGCAGGCAGGCCCCCCCACACACACACCCGCTTTTTTTATTTATTTAAAAAGTTCTCCCTCCTTCTGTTCCCCCTCCATCCAGCCCCTCCCCCCATCCTGTCCTCCAAAAAGGTAAGGCCTGCCATAGGGAGTCAGCAGAGCCTGGTACATTCAGCTGAGGCAGGACTAAGCCCTCCCCCCCTGCGTCAAGGCTGAGCAAGGCTTCCCACCATTGGGAGTGAGCTCCAAAAAGCCAGCTCATGCACCCAGGATAGATCCTGATCCCACTGCCAGGGGCCCCTCAGACAGACCAAGCTGCACAACTGCCTCTCACTTGCAGAGGGTCTTGTTCGGTTCCATGTAGGCTACACAGTAGTCGGTCTAGAGTCCGTGAGCTCCCACAAGCTTGGTTCAGCTGTCTCTGTAGATCTCCCCCATCATGATCTTGACACACACACCCCCCCTTGCTCATATAATTCCCTCTTCCCTCTCTTCGACTGGACTCCTGGAGCTCAGACTGGTACTTGGCTATGGATCTCTGCATCTGCTGGCAGACTTTTGAGTTTGAGGCCAGCCTAGTCTACAAAGAAAGTTCCAGGGTAGCCAGGGCTACACAGAGAAACCCTGGTCTTAAAAAAACACAAACAAAGCAAACAAGAAAGAATAAAAATGAAATTATTTTTGCCTGGTGAGGCCCAAGTAGAAAAGAGTGTGTAAGGGCACTTTGAAAAGTATATAGGGATGTTGGCTTAAAGTATTTATCCCGATCTCGACTTAGTGTTCTATTCACTTAGCTAATGGTTTTTGTCTTAGTTAGAGGTTGTTACAATATCAAAATAAAGTTCTTTTTTTCTTTCTCCCTCCTTCTCTTCTTTCCCCTTTCTTTCTATTTTTGAAAAAAATTCAAGATTTATTTCATTTTCTATGTACAAGTATTTTGCCTGTATGTATGCATGTATGTATATATTTATGTACATATGTATATATATGTACCTTGAGCATGCCTGATGCCCACAGAGGTCAGAAGAGGGTGTTGGATCCCCTGGAACTGGAGGCACAGATGGTTGTTGTATGAGTTATCCTTCCACTGCTGTGATAAATACTATGACTGTGACAACTTATAAAAGAAAGCGTTTAGTTTGGGGCTCATGGTTCCAGAGGTTAGAGTCTATGACAGTCATGGCAGGGGGCACAGCCGTAGGCAGACAGGCGTGGTCCTGGAGCAGTAGCTGAGAGCTCATGTCTTAGACCACAAGCACAAGCAGAGAGAGCTAACTGGGAATGGCATGGACTTTTGAAACCTCAAAGTCCACCCCCAGTGACACGCCTCTTTCAACCACACCACACCCCCTGGTCCTTTCCAAACAGTTCTACCATCTGGCAGCCAAGCATTCTGATACATGAGCCTGTGGAAGGGCGTTCTCATCCAAACCACCAGGGTTGTGAACCACCAGGCGGGTGCTGGGTTCTCTGCAAGAGCAACAGGTGCTCTAGACTTCTGATCCATCTCTTCAGTCTCCTCTACCCTTTTGGACAGAGTCTCATTATGTTGCCTTTGCTGGCTCCACTGTGTAGTCTAGTCTGCCTTTGAACTCTGTATGTATACAGTAAATGTGTGTTTATGTGAGTGTGTGTATGCACGCCACCTTTTTTTTTTTTTTTTTTTTTTTTTGAGACAAGGTCTCTCCCCGAAACTGGAGCTCCCTGACTGAGCTGGACTGGCGTCAGTGAGCCCCGGTGCTGGCTTTAAGGATGCATACTGCCATGCCTGGCTTTTATATAGATGCTGGGGATCCAAGTCCAGGTCCTTATACTCATGCAGTAGAAACTTTGCCAAACAAGCCATGTATCCCTAAACTCTTAATCATTCTGCCTTCCATCTCCAAGTTCTGAGGTTACAGGAACATCCCACAAAACCCAAGCCGAAATAGAGTGACTTAAACTTGGTAGATGATACACTGAGTTTTGGCCTTGACTTCTCTTTTGGGGCGGTCTCATTGCTTTTCCACGCTGTCTTGCTGTCCCTTTGCTCCTCCCAGCATGCAGTTAATTAGACAGGCTTTTGAGAGCAGGCTTATCAACACAGCGATATCACAGCTGCCGGAGCAGGAGAGTGGCTAAAGGCACACAGCCAGGCTGCTGTGTGTGTAGCATCCTGCCTCTTCCTCTGCCTAGCCAGGTGAGGTTAGATGAGTGCTCTGCTTCCTCTTTTGGTACCACAGCTGAAAACTGTGGACCCCAGTGCCTCTGTCTCATACGATGTGAGAATTAACTTTGTTGCTATGTCTACTTTAGACAGCGTAAGGACTCCATGCATGCTAGCCATCGTTAGTCATCTGGGGACAGACATCAACACGCTGGCAGACCTGAGCTGTCACACGCACGTCCTAGATAATGGTGACACTATTTGCAAGTGTGTGTTTGCCTTCATGCTGAAAATGACGTGTCTAATCCTCACTGGGAGGAGAGGAATTTATTTGCTAAGCAATATGGACTTATTCTGACCCATTTCACTTGTGCGTGCAATGTTCTCCTTCGCCAAATGATGCCCACATGTGGCTTGGGGTCTGAGTCATGAGTACAGCATGTAGCTGTGCCTAGAGCTCAGTTAATTGTAGGGATGGAGAGATGGCTCAGTGGCTGGGTACCTGCCACTCTTTCAGAGGACCCGAGTTCGGTTCCTAGCATTGACATCAGGGCGGCTCACAACCACCTATGACTCCAGCTGCAGGGTCTGACATCTTCTTCTGGCCTCAGGGGGTACTTGCACCACACGTATACATGAACACACACACACACACACACACACACACACACACACACACAATAAATTCACAAAATGAACTAAGAACTAAGCTAATTGTGCACAGGCTCCCAGTGACTGACCTTTTCCCCCATCATGACCTGGCTTGCTGCGCTTGCTGTCCCAAACTCAGGTGGTCTGGGCTGGTGTCTTAGCTCCCTGGATGTCGCCATAACACAATACCACAAAGAGGTCATTTATGAAGAACAGAAATGTATTTCTTACACTTCTGGGAGATGGGTGTCTGAGACTGAGGGGCCAGTCTGCTCAGGACCTTCTGTGGGGGAAAGTGGAGGGTCAGGAGAACATACATGAGAGAGGGGCCTTTATCGGGAAGCTGCCCCCACCATAACTCACCACGAATCTATGCTGTCACGATCGAGTTACACCTTAGAAGTCCTACATCTTAGCACCATCACTGAAGATTTCCCAGCACACATCCCCCATCTTAGATGACACATTAAAGTGTACAGGTGGGCACCTGCAGAGTGAGCCGATCTGAAGCAGGGATGGCCTGGGCATGAGAAGGAAGAGGTGGGGCATGCACAGGTTATTGCCATAGCACCCGAGGCTTGGAGATTTCTAGGAGGTTGGTGACCCCACGAGAGCCAGAGAAGCTTGCTTATTTATTTTTCAGCTCCCACTCATTACTGAACGCAGCAACTTCTAGCAGCACTGAGTGACACTTCCAGCCTGATCTGGCTGGGTCACAGACATAGGTGTCTGTATGGGATCAGTGAGGAGAGGAGCGTGGTAAGACACATGCACCACAAAAAGAAAATAAGAAGCAAGGAAGGAAAGGTGTGTGCAGAATCAGATTCTGGGAGCTGCTGTAATGGAAGAGCGTCCTTGGTTCTCAAAACTCCATTCATTCTCAAAACACAGTAGCAGACCATTCATTCTCTGTCTGCAGAGTTAGTGTGTATCTTGTGCTGTGCCTCTTAAAACCTGGAGTAAGCCAGGTATTCCAGAGGGGCTGCCGGGTGCGTGCTGGTTACCATGGCGACTGATGCCGACTGAGGAGTGGCCCCTCCTTTGGGTGTCCTAGTAACCTACAATTGAGCTGCTGGAGTTTTCACTTCCTGGGATGGCGTGCAGTTTGGCTGACAATCACGGAGGAGAGGCGTGAAGGGAAGCTGTTGAGATGGGTATGGCTCCTCCTCTCTGCCAGCCCTGCCCACCTGCCTCCCTGTCCGTTTGTCTCTCCTCTTTCACTGTCAGCCCCTCCTCCGCTCCACAACCTGTATGTTTTGTGATACGCCAGCCGAGCTTGTCTGTGCCCGGAAGTTTCATGCAAGCTGACATCACCACAAGATCACAAATTTGGAAGTATGATAGGCTGGGTCAGACACCATCTCCGAAGCTTCGGGAAATCTGTTTATGCTAAGTATAAATAACAATATGGAACTAGGATTGTTGTTGGAAGGCAACAGAACACAATACACACACACACACACACACACACATATGGCATGTGGTATGCAGTAGGTGCCCAGTATATGTAAGGTACTCTCGATGTAGTAGGTGCTCAATAAATGTTTATGTCTTCCCTTCTCTTGTTTGACTTTCTAGAAGTCCAAATCTATAGACGCCATCTTTGAGATAGAATTTTCCTGCCTAAGTGGTGATGCTTTTCCAAATACCCTCTCACCAGGGAGTTTTCCCTAATTTACCCCATTACAGTATGATTGCTATCTGCCTCTGGCTTGTTCCGAGCCTCACGTGCATAATTTGCACTATACTAATTTGCACTTTTATGATTTCTAGACAATTGTAAAGGAGCAGCTTATATAACACTAACATGGAATTATCTCATTTAATTTCAACAACACGAATGAGATGTTCTTTACGTTGATTTACAACATAGGCCAGGACATGGAACTCAGCCTAACTAACTTCAAAGTGGCAGAACCCTAGCAAAGCCCAGGCCTGACTCCCTTCCAGTCTACCACTGCTCTGCCATGCGTATCTTGTTTCCCTAAAACCTGGGAGCATGGCGGAGGAGGGAATCACATGCCTTCCACTGGAATAGCAGCTCTCCAAACACAGACACCCCGTCTCTTGCTGTCAACAGCTTTGGGTTCTCACATGTTGCTGAATGCCCAGCAAACCATTGCTGGAGACCCCTGCTGGAATGGCCCTAAGCAACCTCTCCATCGTCCTCACTCTGGGGAGCCACAAAGTGGCCACAGCTGGGAACTCAGGGCCAACAGCAAATGAGCGACCCAAGCCTCTGAATGCTCGTCCTTGTTTGACTCCAGCTCAAAGACAGAGCTGTCCTAGGCTGTTCCTGAGGGGCCGGTTCAGGCCTCTGGGCTATCAGATGTCTCTGGTCAGGCAAGCAAAGGACCATTCACTGCAGCTGAAGAGAGGCCAGCGGACCAAGCAGGAGGCTTCCCCACCAAGCTCTCTGCAGGAGGATTCCCCCAAGAGGTCTGAAGACAGAATTAGTCTTGCTTCGCTGTCCCGGACACAATGAAGCAGGACCAGCGGATGCATGAACGTCTGGATTTGAAAAGCAAACTAGAAAAGAGAGGTCCGAAGCATGTAGCTACGCCAGACATGGATAGACGCTCTCGGAATATGCAGGGCAGGCTCGTGGAGAGAGCAGGTGGGAGAGGGTGCCATGTGGGCATGTGCCACAGATAGAGCAGAGCTCTGTGCATACCCAGGAGTTGGAAGGAGAGGTGGACACTGTGGGAGACCCATCGGATCATGGGTGAGAGGTGGCTAGATGTAGAGGCAGGGTGTGTGAAGGATGCACAGCCACCCAGGCACAAGTCTATACCGAGCAGCCACCGGAGAGGAGGAGCGACTTCCAGAAGGAAGTGGGTGACCTTGCATTTGACAGAGCTCAGGGAGAATAAGTGGCATCTCCCAGCTGTCACTTCTCCCTCGTCCAGTTTGTATTCAAGGGGTTCTCCTGGAGTCCTCCCCCTTGTGTGGCATCTCCAGCCCGGAGACAGAGACCTGGCTCCCACTCATCCTTGCGGTTCACACTCTTTCAGACCCTCTTCTCGTTGCTCACCCACTCCGTGCCGCAGGCTTCCTCCACCGCCCCGTCTGACTTCGTTCTCAGACACTGGAGGTCGGATGACAAGGGGCAGGTGAGGATTGACACTCTCTACCCACGCGTGGCCACAGGGCTGCTGGCAGCAGGGGTTCCCGGGGCCACTCATGTGCCACTGGACGTTGTTAGGCGAGGGCCAGGTTTTAGCTGGTTGTCATTTTCCTTTCCAGCCCATAATGAGCTTTGGAAGAAGGGCCCTGGGGATAGCCAGTGGTTCCAGCCCAGGCCGAAGTGAACTTTTCCCAGATGTCCCCTGTTTTCTGGAGCTGGCCTGGGCAAAGCACTTCCATGTGCGCCTCCCACTCCCAGACCCCGTTGCAGTCTGGGAGGCAGCAGCTGTACAGTCTCTTATGCCTCCGCGAGCACCTGTGGTTAGTTTCCCTTTCTTGGGAAGTGGAGTGACATTCTGTGGAACATTCTAGAGCCTGGTTGACCATGGTTCGATTTCCTACTGGCCTGGGATGTTAACCAGTCTGTTTTTGCTTCGCTCTGAAAAGGATGGTGCTGATGCCCACATCATGGTTTTTATCTATACATTCAGTATATACTTTATAGAATACCTGCTGGATGGCAGGCCCTGCAGATACAGGAGGAGAAAACATGGGCGTTGTTCTTAAAGTCATATGAAATGAAATGGCACACAAATACATAAAAATTAAAATATACCCTTACACGATGCTGCACTATGAGGAAGAAACAAGGTTGAGTAGAGAGCAGTGGGCACCGGCCATTTGGGATAGGGTGGACGGGAACGCTTTCTTTGCTCCAGCAAACAGAAGAGCGTGTGCGAAGGCCCTGAGGCAAGAGCAGATCTATGTTCAGGGAGTCAGAAGGAGGTCGGCGTGGCTGAAGCAAAGTGAACAGAGAAGAGAGTGGTCAGGAATGAGGTCAGGAGTTAGCGAGGGGCCAGGTGTGCCACCATGAGTCCCGTGAGAGGGAAATCCTCTGGAGGACTTCGGGGAAGGGGTGATGGAGATCACTGTGAGATCACTGCGGCACTAGGGGAACCAGGAAGCGTGACCGGAGACCTCTGCAGTAATAACAGGCAAGAGCAGAGATGGTCATCACACCGGGTGTAGGGGCAGAAGGGTGAGGGTCTGGGGGGTTAAATGAGATGATATAGGTACAGTACATATAAACACGCTCAGACGTGCTCATAGACACGCTGGAATGTACTCGGTGACACCCTCCCACACATCTCCCCACCCCACACCCCCAGTTCATCAGGCACTTGCTAGAGCAGCGACCTCTCCCGCTGCCCTTTCCTCTCCCTCCCCAGCATCCTCCCTCTCTCAGGGATGGTAAGGGAGGTCCAGGAAGATGCTAGCTCACCAACGGAAGATTGTTGAGGCTCCCTTCTCTGCATTTCCCAACTGCAGGGGTGGTGGGAAAGGCGAGTCTTGGCAAAGGTTATATAAATATTTGCTGAGCAATAACACAGCTGGGAGCAGGGCCCCTTCCTTCAGCTGGCGCGTTTGCCACCCTAGAGAAAGCTCAGCTGGGACGAGGGATGGGCTCTGGAACTCTCCGCTACGCATCTGCTGACTCTCAATACCCCCATTCAAACGGTCCCACAGACCGACCTTCCATACCCTTCATTATATGCCCTATGCTGGCCCTATGGAGGGATCTGGCAAGAAGTGATACACACCACTGTCTGGAGAAACCCTCCTCTAGGAACCACGAAACTTGTGTTTGCATAGGAATGCCACGCACATCACTTATCCTTTATGTGGGCCTCATCGGTAGGAGGGCCTGTGGCTGGGCACGGTGACCTTTTGAGTCGTTTCAGTTCTGATTTCTGAGTTGAATCTGGTCCAGGCTCCCTGGTACCTCCTCCAGGAAGGGCCTGGAGGCTGGCTGGGCCATGAAGTGAGAAGGAAAACTCACACTGAGAGCTATGAAAGATCTCAGACATAGCCAAGAGGTCAAGAAATTCCCTGGTGATTCCTGAGCTAGGACTGACATCATCATGCCCACACCTGTGGGCAGATTGCCTTAGGCCACTCTCTGAACCCTCCTAGCCATGAGTGAGCTAAAGAAAGGGTAGCAGTAGCTGTCTGGCCTGAGATCACTAGGCTGTGTAAGAAAAGAAGCTGGAAATCGTCTCTCTAGATATTTCTCTCAAGGTCAAACAAAACAGATGAATCCATCAAGATTTGGGAGTCTTTGGGAGATCTTGGGTAGGTCTTTGAAGTGGGACTAGGGATGTAGCCAGAAAATTTCCTAATAATTCTACCACGGTGTGGGAAGAGGGCTCACTTGCTCTGTCCCTTTTCCAAATCCTTTCTCTCTCCTTTCCCTATCCAAGCAGCAAAGAATTCATTCGATTCTCTTTTTTATCACCCCACTCTATGCCTGTCACTGTCAAGACACTGCAGTGGCTGTACATGTTAGCACACACATTTGCAATCCCAGAACTTAGGAGGCTGAGGCAGGTGACCCACAAGTTCAAGGCCAGCTTATGCTATATAGTGAGTTTGGGGCCAATCTGAGCTCCGTGCACAGTGACACTCGGTCTCAAACAAACACGACATTAGCTCAAGTGTATGGAGTAGTCTCCGTGCCCAGCCACCCACAGGCTTGGAGGGAGGTTCTCTGACAGGCTAGGACCTATGGAGGGGGAGGGATTTTTCCATTCGAGAAGTTCCATAACCTCAGAGTTGGTGAGAAAGAAGCAATCAGGCAGGCCACTGGACAAAGTGCAAGTGTCTACCCTGGGACTCAGTCTGTTCAAGGGTCTCACCAGGAAATCGGGTATGTGGTCAGGCCCCAGATAGGTGACATTGGCCCCAGAAATGCTTAGACAAGTGACCTTAGAATGCACAGCATACCAGACTACCTGGCCAGTGTCTTTTGCTTACCCCATTCTAACCAAGCATGCCAGTCTCTGAAGTTACTGTCAGGGACACCACCGTGACCACTCAGAAACTCTTTGCGGTGTCTCTGCTGAAAGGGGGACATTGTCCAAGAGGAGCTCAGGCCTGGGCCCAGACTCCTGTCAGGGATCCTCAGGATCGGGGAGGTGGGGGCAGGGAGCAGAGATCATCCTCAGGAACCTGCTGAGGACTCATGCACATGGGTCTGGGACCTCCGCTCTGTTATGGACATTTTTCAGTCTTTCCAAACCTCAGTTTCCCCTCTGTAAAGAGGCACTCCGATGGTGCTGGCATGGGAGATAAATGAGGTCATAGCCCCCGGGGGAATCTGTGGAGAGCGGTGCCAAGGGAGCACAGAGGGCGTCTATCTGGCACACACAGGCCTTTTTCCTCTCACCCGTGTTGGCTGGCAATTCTTTCTGGAAAAGTGCCTGGTACCCAGCTCCCTTTCAGCAGGTGTTTTCCTACTCTCAGAAAGAAGCACTCAGAGTCACCCCTACACGCCTCTCCCCCATAGCCAGGGCCACCACATCACCCCCGCTCTGCCACACCTCCGTGATGGGCAAGGCCAGGGCCTCTTCAAACACAGGAGTAGGTCCCTTGACAGGGAAGGCTGGTTTTTCTGACTTCACAAAAGCCCCAGACAGCATTCCTCTTCAATGCCGCAGTCCAATTACCAAAGTGCCCTGACCTGGGGGCTGAAAAGAGCAGGTGCTAATTTGCATGCTATTTATTTAAGTAGTGGAGCCTCTGGAGTCTTGCCTCTTTCCCCTGTAAAAGCCCACGCTAGCCTACACAGAAAAATAGGTACTCCACAAGGTGCAGCTTCCCCTTGAGGAGGAAAGAGGGACACAAAGAGGGAGTCTCTGGTATGCTGAAGTTTGGCAGCTCAGAAATCCATCTTGGGGGAGGAGGGCTATAGAGATCCTCAGGCCTGGAACCCTCTCAGCGAGGACCAGAAAGCTGAGAGCCCCTCCTTGTGGCTAAGCGGCTAGCCAAGACTTATTCCCATTATGGTCCCCTAGTCCCTTTGGGGGCAAGAAGAAGATAGAGTCAGAGGAGGCTGTTTGGTAAACAAGCTGCCAGGTATAAGGAAGAATACGGCCCTGTGGTCTCTGGGTGGCTGTGAAGGAATGCTCAGGGACAGCTCAATTCCTTGTATGTGCAAGCATGTGCACACACACACACACACACACACACACACACACACACACACCATTCCTCCAAGGAAACTCCCACCCCTTACCCTTCCTCAGACTCTCTCTCCAGCTCTGACCAGAAAGCCACAAAGAAAAAAAAAAAAAAAAAACCTTATGGAAAACCTACTGCTAGATTTGGAGGACACAACCCCTTTCCTGCTGATGACATTCTTCTGGCTGACACAGCCATTTTATTCAGGATTCATGTTGGCTGGCGCTAAAGAGAATCCCTCATGGTGCTATAAGCTGTTCCCCAGATGACCCAGGCCAGCTCCAACACAGCAGTGGGGACAGACCCTCCCGGGAGAAGGGACTGTGTTCACTCTCTCTAGACAGCTGTGAGGGTGAGAAGCCCAGGGCAGTACTAGGACAGGGAGGCAGGAAAGGGGATAGATAGGTCCAGGAACCGGACTGAGAAGGAAGAATTACTAGAGAGATCCTTTGCCTTGCCCTTACTTCCTGCAAAGCTGCTGTGCTTGGGAAGTGCATCTTTCCCAAGTCTCACCACCGAAACTCCTTGGAATATGTCAGAAAGTCTCCTTGTCCCACCATGCTAAGGGGAGGGTAGGTGAGGCTCACCCCAGGGTTCCCGTCCTTGGATCTCTAGGTGTGTTTGTAGAACTTAACAATGGTGTGCACCTTCGGATATAAACCCCCTCCCCCAGCCCAGCCGATTCAAGGGCAAAGGTCCCTAGAACATGATTCATTCCTTGGAGCTGCAGCCCCAGGTCAGTGCCCCCCGGGCAGTCACAGGTCTGGGAAAAGACAGGCTTCAAGGGAAAGAACTCAAAGTCCCATCAGACCCTCTATCAAGGCAAAGAAGAGGAGGCAGGCTTTCAGAATGTCATTCTGCTCCTTCGCAACCTTTGTGAAAGCTAACGCTAAAGCAGATGCCATGCCGTCTAACAGGACAGTGGAGCTCAGTCCCACAGCTCTGCTCAGACTCCAGAGACCGCTGCCCTGTGGTTCACAGTCACCCTACTTCAGTACGTGTGGGGCTTTTTACACTTGTAAAAGTTTTATTGATTTTGTGTATGTGTGTGTGTGTGTGTGTGTGTGTGTGTGTGTGTGTGTGTGTGTGTGTGTGGGTGTGTGCCGTGGCTTCTGTGTGGCTGTCAGAGAAGGATTTGCAGCAGTCTGTTCTCTCCTTCCACCATGGCTGTTCAGGGAATTAACTCCAGTCGAAGCCTGGCAGGAGGCTAAAGCCATGCATGTACCCCTTGAGCCATCTTGCTGGCCTCATGGTGGCGCTTTTCAAGGAAGAACTGCAGATAACCATCCATCTCTCAAATGCAATGTCTAGCTTGCCTAGTTGACATCTGGCTGGAGACTCAACCATGGAGCCTCTTCCTTTAAGACTTGAGGACTGGAGGGCGCAGGGAAACTGTATCTGCTAGGCTGTTCTCCACCTTCCTAATGCTGCCAGCCTTTAATACAGTTCCTCATGTGGTGGGGACCCCCCCACACACACACACCATAACATAATTTGTGTTACTACTTCATAGCTGTAATTTTGCTACTGTTATGAATTGTAATGTAAATATCTGTGTTTTCTAATGAAAACCCCTGTGAAAAGGTTGGTCGAGCCCCACAGGTTGAGAACAGCAGCTCTACACAGACCTCCTTTCTTTTTGACCGAGAAAGTGGGGTATCACAGCTGGGCCCTGCCTGAGTGCAGAAGAATCCCAAGGTTTGAGCCCTGCTATCCATCCCACTAATTTTCATACCTTCCGTTAAAGACCGGGCGTCTTGGGATCCTTTTCTTCCCTACTCTGTCACCTGAAAATGCCTCTTGGATGAAGGCACTGCCTCCACCTTGGGGACTGTGAACTGAACGCCACCCCCAAGCCGCCCCGAGCAGCATGAGCAGCCCCTTCAAATGCGAGCACACCTCTCGCCTCTGCTGTAGTCCCCGGAATACCAGAAATCCGTTTTCGTCCCGCCCCTTCTGGACTAGAGAGAGGCCACATTATCTCATCCCACCTTAGTGTAACGGTCCAGAGAGCCAACCTCTAGCAATATGGAGCCCCATCTGACCTTCATCTTGTTTCAAGGGTGAGTGTAGGAACTCAGTACGCCAATTTTGAGTAATTGGTAAAAGCCGAGTAAGTGGCGAGGAGGAGGCTAGGAAGGACCCCTCTTCAGCCCTACCCACCCGTGCACCACCTCGGCTCCCTACCCGAGAGACTTGGAAATGCCCAGCTGCTCACGCCCCCTGCAACCCCTAGAGCGCTCACCAGACCGCTGCTGGCATTCAAGGGGTTAACTCAGGAGCAGCCCAGGTAGAGGTCGAGGCCCTCAACCCCCACCACCTCTGCACCTTCCGGATTCTGAGGCCGCAGAGGCCACCGACACGGTAGAGGCTGCGGTAGCTCTTTGTCTACCTGCTCTGGGCGTTAAAGAGCCCGCTGGCAGCCTGCTTTTCTGCGGCTCGGGACAGAAGTCAGCGACAGAGAAATTGGGCTCTGTCGCTTTAAGTACAGCTGGAGCCCTAAGTACTAGGCCGGCTGTGCAGAGAAAAGGAGCCGAGAGCCGACGACCGACCGGTTCGGCGTCCGCCCCTCCGCGTGGTCGGCGGCTCTTACGATTTGGGGTGCCCGCCGCGTGCCAGTCAAAGGCTGTCCCGGGTCTTCTGGGTGCTCACCCACTGAACAGTCTCCTGAGCCGGGGAAGATGCTTCATCTGCCCCTGCCCAGGTCGGGAAGGGCAGCGAATTTCCCCCGCAGGTAAGCCTGGAGTCGGTTTAGGGCATCCCCACCCGCAAGGCTCCTAGCTCCTCCGCATCTGCAGCCTCGGGGCGGTGGTGAGGGGTCCTCAAGGAGGAAGGTCTCGGCCGAGCTCCTCTGCCTGAGCGAGGCGTGCCAGAGTCCCAGAGACTGTGGCTCCCCACCGTTTGGCTTGCTGCTGTTTGGGGCTGGGGGTCCGGAAGATGTTTGGAAAGGGGATTCTGGAGGGAGAGCTTGGAGTCGGGGCGACCTGGACGAATTCAGACAATAAGCACAAGTTGATTGAACTCAGAGGTCTGCGGTTTGCGGCTGCGGAGGCTGCTGAGCCGGGTTGGGGTCCCCGGGGACCAGGGCGGGTGTCTGGAGAGGGGCCTGCAGCCCTGGCCTACTCAGCCAAGGGTACCCCTAACTCTGGGCTCTCCATCCAGGAAGGAGATGGTGGGGGACCTAAGGATAAGACCTGAGGGAAGGGAGGGGGCATTGAATTTATGACCCTACAGCTGCCTGGATCCCTTGGAGTGGGACTGTGCTCTGGGGAGGGGTAAGAATGTGCGAGTCCTGTGATTTGAGGAGACCCACTGTGAGGTACAGCCCTTGCTGTAAGGTGAGGACGCGAAAGGGGGAAGTGAGTGTGACCACAGCACCACTACCCTAAGTCCGTCGAGCCGGCTTGGAAAGTGCACCAGACTGGGAGAAGTGGACCTTCACTGCGGCCTGTGCTGGGACTTTCTGGGTTTTCTGAGAACTTCCCGTCTTAGGCTATCATCCCGAGACCCACACTGAGTCCTCTCAGACCCGGGAGACTTGGGGGGAGTTGGAGATCCGGAGGTTGACTCAAAGAACCGTGTGCTAGGTGCGGTGGCCACGCCTTCTTGTGCTTTGCCGGGTGCTCTCTCGGGGAGCCCAGACTTGCCCCCTGGAGACTTGCTCCTGCTTCCTGGTGATTCCTTGGAGGGAGCCCCAAGTTGTAACTCTGTCTCACACAGAAGGTAGGGTGAGAGCAAAGAATTGGCCCGTGCTTGGGAAGGGAGGCCTGTTTCCTTCTGTAAAACTGGACACAGGCCCCCAAACTTCTTGTCCCCAGCCACAGTACACGGACTGCAGCCTTGCAGAGCCCCGGAAATGTAGCAGGTGGTAAGGATGTTCCCACGACGGGTGATCCATTTAGGGGCCTCCAGGGATTTTTTTTTGGGGGGGGGGTGAGACCTTGGGCTGGGTTGTGTCCAGTTCAGTGACTCCTGGAGAAGGCGCAAGAAAGGTGTGGTTCGTAATCTCCGAGCTCCAACAGCTCCGCCACTCTAACATGTGCGGTCCACACGGGCTGTGCCCTGGGGAAACTGTAGCATCGCCTCCTCGCTGAGATTTGTCCATCGCTTCCCCTCAACCCCAGAAGATGCTCCAAGGGATTCCCAGCATCCACCACCGCTTCTTCCTACACAGCCGCCCTCTCTAGATACAAGGTTTCTTTGCAGTTGATATTTTTTTCCTGTCTCCTTCTTTGGCCCCATGCCGCTCCAGAAGAGTCTCCCTGTCCCCCAGGGAACTTGGCCGTTATAGCCTGAGCTCAGTGCCCTACCCTGAGGCCCCAGCTGTTGAGTACACACCTGGCTCGGTTTCTGGGCAGGTGTGCTGGGCGGGGCCCTGTCTGCCAAAACCCAGAGAAAGGAGGTCTCATTACAGCTCCCCAGGGGTGCAGCCGAGCCTGTGGTTTCCTCCCCATCCAAGCCCAAGATTTGCAGCCCTGATGGTAGGCAGGGAGAGAGGGGATGTTGTAAAGTGTAGGTCAGTCTTCGAATTGCTGCACTTCAGTTATAAAGCTTAACTAGCCTGGCTCTAGTCCACAGAGGGGGAAGCTTAACCCATCCATGCCTTTGCTCTGGGGAGAACTAGAAACTTCCTGGAAAGTTTCTGAAGTTGAGCTCAAGCCAGTCGGGGATCAAAGAGATGCTTTCCCTGCATGCTCCAGCTCTCCTTAAGCTCAGGAGATAGCACTGGGGGATGTGAGCATACAAGATGAATGACTTTATTGGCCCTCCAGTGCTTTGTGACCAGCGTTAGTTGTACTCTCAGCCCCCTGCCTCCTTGCCCTAGAGTAGATGCCCAGGATTTCTGCCTCCGCCGTGGAATGGCGCGTCCACAAGCAGGGTCTTGCACATCCCAAGCAGTGGGGTCTGCTGGAGAGACCTGTTCTCTCCTCCTGTGTCTTTCAGACAGGAAATCTGAAGTCCCAGCATGTGCCCACTCCAGCCCTCCTACTCCTTTCTGGAAATGGCCCCTAGGTCTAGCGCAGGGATAATACCTGTACTGCGTGTGCCTCACACAACCCACAGAGCCGCACAGCAACTCCCTGGGACAGGGTTTTGGCTTGGCACAAACTCAGTCTCTGTGAGAGGACAAATGCCTAGGGACAAGCAAGCCAACGAGCTGCTTCTCGTTAAGGGGTTTTATGAGGCTAGACAAGCACACCACAGGCAAACCTCATTTGCAGGCTTAACCTCTTCCTGCAAGGCCTCTGCCCAGGCTCAGAAGCAGGAGGAGAAGAGAGGGATGGGCTGAGCCGGGAGCAGCTTAACCGGAAGGACTGAGCGCAGGGGCAGCCTGGCCCAGCTTCTGAGCCTGCCACCATTCCTCACTGTCCTATGCCCCAGGGCTGCAAAGCACTGCCTAGGCTAAGAGCATCATGGACACCTGTTTAATCTTGGCCGTGTGGCGTGTTTATTGTTATCATCCCGTCTCCCAAGTGAAGGAAGAGATGGAGGGTACGTAGACAGATCTAATTTCACAGTGGAGGGACTAGTCGTCACACCTAGGTCTGTCTGACAAAAGAAGCACCTCTGAGCTCTGTGGTACCAGGAGACTGTTCTCACCAGCACCAATCCAGGCCCCTGGAGATGCTGAGTAAGGTTCGGAAGTCGAAGCTAATTGGAGGCCTCAGCGAAGGCTTTCGAAAGCTTGGGTTAGCCTGAGACTCTGGCAGGAATGTCCTAGGGAGTATTTGTACACTTGGAGTCAGCTGACCTGATTTGTAAGTCACTCCGCTGCTGACGGGCTTTGTGGTGGGGCAGAGGTTGCTTAGGCTCCGCTTCAGTTTCTTTTTCTGTGAAATGGGCATAACTCTTACTTACCTCACTGGGGCACAGTCAGGATGGTGAGATGATGTGGAGAGCGGAGGCCTTTAAACACAAGCTTATACGAGAGCAAGTAAGGTCCCTCCCACCCGCCCAAATCTCCCCAACTCTTTAGATTGTGTTTTGTTTATTTTCTTTCTTTCTTTCTTTCTTTTTTGGAAGAGAGGGTTTCTCTGTGTAGCCCTGGTTGTTCTGGAACTTGCTCTGTAGCCCAGGCTAGCCTCAAACTCTAAGATCCACCTTCCTCTGCCCTCCGAGTGCTGGGATTAAAGGCCTGCACCGTTATGCCTGGCTTGTGGGTCTCACTTTTCATCCTTCCCTTCCAGCTTGCTGGGGTTCTAAGGACGGAGCCCATCAGTATAATAATCCAAACAGCTCCCTGCCTTAGAATTTTTGATTTTCACTAAAGTTCTTAATTGCCTACCTTTAGGTTTTTAATAGTCTAAATTCTGTGTTGTTGATAGTGTACTGATATTTTAATGGCAACTTACATAAATATAATCTAGTCTTAGAACTTGATCTGTTTTTCAAGCAGAAATATTCCTTCGGCATTCACTGTGTGTAATAACTCTGTACCAGCCACTGCTCTCGGCTGGTGCCAGAGAAACAGCTGCATCCCAGAGACCTTAGATTCAGGTATCGAGCCATTTGCTTACTCTGCGGGCCCCAGTGAGCACTTCGGATGCCAAGCATGACACCTGGCACTAGAACTGTAATACTGGGCAGCAAGGCCGGCGTAGGCCCCACATCTCAGAAGCTTATAGTCCTTCAATGAGAACAGACAGAAATGAATGAGCACAGGCCGGGGAGATGGCCCGGTGGGGAAAGTCACTTGCCATGCAAGCCTGACCAGCTGAGTTCGAATCCTGGATCCCGAGGTGGAAGGGAAGAGTCAGCGTTACAAAAGTTGTCCTCTGACCTCCACTTGCACAGTTATATGCCTTCTCCTGGCATGAACGTACCTGCATTCTCACACATCACACACGCGCGCGCGCACAGTATCCGTAAATGACAAGTTAAGAGTTAATACAGTCACACATTTCAGACTGTGGGAAACACAAGCGTGAATGACGGCAGGAGGGTGCAGGATGATGGGGAAGTGTGGAACACACAGAAAGGGGCCCTCTTTGGAGGCACCATCCTTGACATGGCTATGAATGGCTTCATGGGGGAGGTGGCATTTTAACTGCGCCTAGAAAGAAAAATAAGACTTTTCTAAAGGGACATGATTTTATTTTGGAAGAGGGGAAGATGAAGAGAGGTGTCATCCTCCACTTTGTCTGCCTGGGTCCTCCGTCACTGGAGCTTCTTCGGTCATGCAGACTCAGCCTCTGGGGCAGAACCCTTGGAGACGATGACTGATTTTTTTTTTCCCCTACCCAATCTGAATAGCTCTGAGCGTGATGTGACACAAGACATCTGGAAGTCTTACATAATGCCACTGGCGTGTTCTTTTGGGGCCTAGAGACCAGTGTCATCTTTAGTTAAGTTCAGGAAATAATAAACTGTCCTTGCCCCTAACATTAA